CCAAGATAGCGTGCATGGATGGGATACATATTTCGCGCCGTTTAGTCAACTGTGGTTCGATCTTGGGGGTGGGATGCATAGCGGTCCATCGCACAAAAAGAGGGTTCCAAAGAAAGAAATTTGTAATAGAGAGGGAGCCCGATGTACTCGTCTTCAGTTTAAATAAATTGTAATGAACGTCTTCAATTTAAATAAATTGTAATGAATGTTGTTTACGTCACATGGAAACATGATATAATAAAAACATCCGAAGTACAACATAAATACATAAGTCATAATCAGATACAACAGATAACATAAGTCATAGTCTAAAAACAACAAATAAGCAACTGAACACCACATAACATAAGTCGTAGTAGAACAACAGAATAACATACATCCACTCGTCTAAAAACAACAAATAACACTCATACATATGACATTATACGATCATACAACTACTGTGGAGGTGGTAGAAAACTCGACTTCCTCCTAAACTCGGGCCACATGTTCCCAACTCCATGACATAAGTCTTAGTACTCGTTGGAACTAGCATTCCACTCCTCCCTACTACCCTGTCTAGCATCCATCACGGGAGATATCTCAATCCACATCTCACGTGACAACTGTAAACAAAAACCATACAATTTAAATACATATTAGTTGCAATCAAACAGAATTTTACTTAATACAAATAATTTCAAATATGATTGTACTAACTGTATCAGCATTCGCGATGTCGCGACGAGGTCGGTTGTCACTCAGTATCTGTGGGTGCGAGTGCCTAATGTACCACCCTATGTAATCCTCAGCAAACTCCCATGGCCTACGTCGTATCGGAGTAGAATAAAGGTCCAGATGCACACTATGCGCCCCCAAGTTGTTCCACCATGAATCATAAACAAACTGGTAGCTAAGAGAGTATCCAAGGGTGGAAGCAGGTTGACGCACAACAAGCGGACACTCTGGGGGATACGGTACACTTTGCACGTAGCCTAACTATCGGAGGCACCTAGTGCGATCATATGACTCTACTATCTCTGCAAATCTGAGTAGACCCTGATACAAGGTACGTCTCACCGTTAGATGAGGACTCTGACCATACGGAGTCCAAATAACCTGCTGTGGGGTCAAACTATCAACCGCCTGCCGATAATAAGCCAGCATCTGTGTATCCCTCTTCTTCATTGACTGGGGTGAGATACCGCGCCACCTGAATGCTCCTGCCTGCCCCTGCTCCAGCTGTCGTGGCTCTAACCGACTAGGCCTCAAGGTAGGAAAGTGGTCGTAAATCCAACACTGTAGTAAAGTCAGACAACCCGCCACTCCCTTAGCCTCCGCCGGAAGGCAATACCAAGCTGCATGTACAGATAAGCAAGTGCTCCTGCCCCCCACGCGTACTCTCCTAGCATATCCGGCCTCTTCACAAACAAGTTGATAACAGCAGAAACGCAGTCCTTACTCTTATCTACGAACAGTGTGGACCCAAGCAGCAAAAGAAGGTAACACTGAGGCTCTCTAGCTGGCGGACCAGACTGTTGCAAATGAGTCAAAGCTGCCACACCCAACAAACCAAATCCTCTGTACCACCTCGACAGACTGGCAACCTCTCCAACCTGCTCCCCGTGGACCAAATCATCACTCTCTAATCCCAGTAGTGCTCGTATGTCAGCCTCTAGTGACCACTTCTCCAACTGCCTCGGATCCACTACCATCGCCTCTCCCTCAACCGCAAGCCCACGTCGTGAAGGAGGATCTTCATCTCTCCAAACGGCATGTGGAAGGTGTTGGTATCCGGCTGCCACCTCTCCACAAATGCCGAGATGAGAGCAGTGTCCAGCTCGCTCTGGAAGGTGATATCAACGAGGTGGGCAAGGCCCGATGTCTCTATGGTAGTCCTAGTGTTATCATCTGCCATCTCATAACCGTCTAGAACGTGCCGAAGGGTCGAACTCCTATCGTAGCAAGTGATCACCCCCTCTATCAGCCTGTCCAATGTACAGACGGTGGGCAACATGCCCAAGAAGGCTACGGATCCACTACCACCCCCACTTCTCCAACTGCCTCGGATCCACTACCATCGCCTCTCCCTCAACCGCAAGCCCACGTCGTGAAGGAGGATCGTCATCTATCCAAACGGCATGTGGAAGGTGTTGGTATCCGGCTGCCACCTCTCCACAAATGCCGAGATGAGAGCAGTGTCCAGCTCGCTCTGGAAGGTGATATCAACGAGGTGGGCAAGGCCCGATGTCTCTATGGTAGTCCTAGTGTTATCATCTGCCATCTCATAACCGTCTAGAACGTGCCGAAGGGTCGAACTCCTATCGTAGCAAGTGATCACCCCCTCTATCAGCCTGTCCAATGTACAGACGGTGGGCAACATGCCCAAGAAGGCTACGGAGCAAACTCGGGTCGCTCGACCCTCCAACACACGGTCCTTTAAGCTCCCATGCCTCTCCCACATCAGCATTACCACTCTGGCCCTCACTAGGCTGTGGAGCTCTGTAGAAACGCCCTGCATGGTCTCTATAGATCCCAGTAACAGCATGAACCCCAGTAACGACATGTGACGATCCGCTGACGGCACCTCTGTCTTTGATCGGATCCACTCGTGGAATGCGAAACTCAACAGCATCCGACTCATACTCCTCCGACTCGTCATCAATCTCGTCTGAAGGCTCAAACGGTGAAGTATGATGATCACGACTGGGACCAGCTCCACTACCAGCCATACTATGCAAATGCAACTGAAAATCAAACTGAGGGAAACCGTCTGGCCTCAAAGTCATCGGTGTCACTAGTGGCCGTGACTGTGGCTCATCTCTATCATTTGGGTCCTTATTTCTCACACTAGCACTAATGTTACGCCCAATGAATTTTTTCAATCTTTTTGCTGCTCCTTCAGAACTACGTGATCCTCCAGAACTACCAGATAACGCCATCTCTAAACATAGTCAATAATTTTCTATTAATATCTTATAATAAATTATTTGTTGAGCAATTACTTGTTGTTTCATAGAGTAATTATGGGTAATTAGCATAAATGGTCACAAACCTTTGCACTTAGTACAAAACAGTCACAAACCTTTAATTTGTAACCATTTGATAACAAAACTTTTTTACTTAGAACAAAACGGTCACAAATTAAACAGTGTGACCATTTCATACTAGTTCAAACTTTTGTTACCGTGTCGTTGCAAATTAGACTTTTGGTGACCGTTTTGTACAAATTAAGTTCAAAAGTTTGAACGCTCAATCACCATTACAATTCACTCTAGTTGTATGGTGGTTTTGTTAATGTATGTGAATGATATTATGTTGTTTAGGATGACAATGAGAGAATTCAATGGCTGACAAATGGGTTCCAGACTGCTTTTTAGTTGAAAAAACTATGTTTACTTTCTTACTTTCTTGGTATCGAAATTGAAAGGTCAACTGAGGGCATTCTTATTCGTCAAAGCAAATATGTCGATGAACACATGACCTGGCATCTTATATGTCGTTCAAGTGGTTAGTGTCATATACTTAACGAAAAAACTACCCGACCTCAAAACATGACAAACATTTAATTTGTAACGATTCGGTAACAAACCTTTGCACTTAAAACAAAACGGACATAAATTAAATAGCGGTGACCATTTTATACAATTTCAAAGTTTTGTTACCGTATTGTTACAAATTAAAGGTTTGTGACCATTTTGTACTAAGTGCAAAGGTTTGTTACCATTTATGCTAATTACCCGAGTAATTATCTCTGTTTTCAGAACCGGATCGGAGGTTGAACCGGAAAAGTTAGTAGTTTAGGGTTCACCGGTTAACCGTTACAAAATCGTTGGTGAACCGTTGATAGAACCGTTAATGATATACAACATATAAGACTTGTATATTACACTAATTTAAGAATGAAATTATAATTGACCATAACAAGTTCAAATTCATATCATCACGAAAATATCTAATAAATCATTCCAACCATCTCACAAAAGAAACCACATTTTTTAATTCAAATTAAAAATTACGGTTCTAGTTGGTAGTAGACAATGTAAAATCGAGAATAAGGTTGAGGAAGCATATATAAAATTAATAATTATGATTTGATGGTCTTAGTTTATGTTAAAGTATTCTTTTTTGTTAAAATAGTGAACCAGTGGACCAGTTAAACCGTGTCGGTTCATCTGATTCTATGTTGAACCGTAAAAAACCGTTTGGTCCATCAATAACCGTTCAAACAATGAACCGGACCGCTATCGTAACTGGTTTGACTGTTCTACTGGCCCGGCCGTTGATCCGGTTCGGTTCTTATAACAAGGGTAATTATGATACATACAATTTATTATTTAATTAATTTAGCTAGATAGTTATTTTACTTAATAAGATAGGTAATTATTTAAATAATTATTTCAACTTAGGGATGGCAATTTACCCACCCATGGGTAATTTTGCCCAAACCCAAGTAGACCCATTTATTATGGGTAGGGTTTGGGTGATGTGTGTATGGGTTTGGGGTTTGTATATGGGTTGGTTTAGATATGGATATTATCTAAATGGGTATGAGTTGGATATGGATATCCATTTACTTGAGGGTGTTTTAACTACACATGCAAAAATTGGACTTATTTGTAAAACTTGAAAAATTTAGGTACCAAAATGTAAGACCAAAAAAATTTAGGTACCAAAACGTAATTTTCCATTGATATTTTGAGGACTTATATGCAAAAAAAATTAAATTTAGGTACTAAATATGCATATCTATTAAGTTTAGGTACCAAACTGTAATTTATATTTGGGCATGGGTACAAACCCAAATCCATTTGTTATAAACCCAACCCAACCCAAAGTAAATGGCTATGGGTACAAACCCATCAAACTTTACCCATATCCATATATTTGGATTTCATACCCAACCCAATTGGGTTTGATAGTAAAATACCCATGGATATGGGCAAAATTGCCATCCCTATTTCAACTTACTCAATTACTTAACTATGATACATTTAGTCATTTACTCAATTACTTAACTAACATATGATACATAATTATTTAAAATTAACAATTATTTACAATTCATCCTCTCGAAGTCCGAGTTCATCCTCCTCCAGCCGGCCCTGAGAGGCTGAGAAGCTCGAATCAGCGGCACATCTGTAAGGATCGTGCTGAGATGAACTGGCGAAATGGTGATGGCGTAGGGAAGAACAGAGAATGCGAAGGAGAAGATAGAGTTTCTTTTATTAGAGTCTAACTAATTGGTAAAGTTGCTAAATGGTAACAGATTGGTCAAAAAGCTAACAAGTCGTAATTGCCTAGCTCTATTTATACTGCTGACTCTTCTTCACACTTCACACGCCAACTGTATCCAGCTGTCTTCTTTGGGCTGTTACAAACCCCTTCTCTTCAAAAGCAGCTTGTCCTCAAGCTGGGAAGGCGGGGAACTGCTGCTTGAAACTGATCCAATCCTCCCAGGTAGCTTCCTCTGGTGAGTGGTGTGTCCATTGGACAAGAACCTGGGTCACAGCCTTGTTGCCCTGATTGATAAACCGTCGAGCAAGAATGTGAGCTGGGGCCAGCTTCAGAGTCCCGTTTTCATCTGTTTCCGGAAGCTGCAGAGTAGCTGGTGGCACAACCGATCGGCAGAGTTTGAGCTGTGAAACATGGAATACAGGATGCACCTTCGACTCAGCAGGCAAGGCAAGTTTGTAAGCTACAGCTCCCACTTTAGCAACCACCCTGTATGGCCCAAAATAGCGTGCATCCAACTTGTTACCTTGCCTTCCCACCACAGAGCCTTGCCGATATGGTTGCAGCCTAAGAAAAACCCAGTCATGAACCTGCAATTCCCTTTCAGAACGTCTTCGATCCGCATACTGCTTCTGTCGGTTTTGCGCCTTAGTAATGTTATAGGTGAGCAACTGGGTCACCAAATGCTGCTTAGTGACTCTATCCTCCACTGCCCCCACCGTTGTCGACAGCACAGCACCCAAACCAAAAAACGACGGAGGAAACCCATAAAGCGCTTCAAACGGAGACATTTGAATGCTGATGTGGAAATGGGTGTTGTAACACCACTCTGCTAGAGTCAGCCAATCCACCCAATCCTGAGGACGGTGGAAAGTCATGCAACGCAAGTAGTCCTCCAAACAACGATTGACTCGTTCTGTCTGCCCATCGGTTTGTGGGTGGTAAGCTGTTGAGTAGTGTATATCTGTATGTTGGAGGCGGAAGAATTCAGTCCAAAACATGCTTGTGAACGTAGCATCTCGGTCACACACAATCGTCGAAGGCATGCCATGGTACTTGAACACCCCGTTGAAGAAGATGGCTGCCACTTCTGCTGCTGTATATGGATGGGATAGAGCAAAAAAATGGGCAGACTTAGTGAATCTATCCACCACCACAAACAGAACCTGCTTACCTTTAGAAACAGGAAGACCCTCCACAAAATCCATACTAACGTCTTTCCATGCGCGTGATGGTATTGGGAGAGGTTGAAGCAGTCCTGGAGAAGCTACAGTTTCAGTTTTGCATCGTTGGCATACCTCGCATTGAGAAACCCATTGACGCACAGCAGCCTTCATTCCTTGCCAGTAGAAGTATGACCTAAGGCGCTGGTACGTGCCCTGTACGCCCGAGTGTCCTCCCACAGGAGAAGAATGGAAAAGGCGTAGAAGCTTCAGACGCAAGTGACCGGTGGAACCTACCACAATAGCTCCTCTGTAGCGGAGGATACCTTCTGAAAACGACCAGAGAGAGGGGCCAAAAGAGTTTACTGCAGCAGCAGCTATCCGGGCAGCCACTTCAGCATCATTCTCATATGACTGCTCGATCTCTACCAGCCACTCAGGTAGCACCGATGACAATGCATTGCAAGTAGAGCCTTCAATCTCATCTTCGAATACACGGGAAAGAGCATCTGCTGCCCCATTGTAGCGACCCTTCCTATACTTGATTTGAAAGTCGAGCCCCATGAGTTTAACCAATCCTTTCTTCTGAATCGCTGTATGCACCTTTTGGCCCAAGAGGAACTTCAAGCTCTCATGATCCGTGACAATCGTAAACTGACGGCCTTCCAAATAGTGTCTCCAATGATCTACTGCCATTAAAACAGCCAGGTATTCTTTCTCGTATGTACTCAATCCTTGATTCCTCAAACTCAACGCCTTGCTGTAAAAAGCTAGAGGTCTGCCTCCTTGAGATAAGACAGCTCCTACCCCTGACCCACTTGCATCGGTTTCGAGTGTAAAAGGTTGACTGAAGTCGGGCAGTCCCAATACTGGAGCTTGGCTCATAGCGGTCTTGAGAGCATCAAACGCAGTATCCGCAGCAGCTGACCACTGGAAGCCATTTTTCTTTAACAATTCAGTCAGGGGGCGGCTAATTATTCCATAATGCTTGATGAATTTACGGTAATAGCCTGTGAGTCCCAAAAATCCTCTCAACCCTTTCACTGAGGTAGGACGAGGCCAATTCTGCATAGCTGTTACCTTGCTACTGTCCGTGGAAACCCCTGCTTTACTGATCACATGTCCCAAATACTCAACAGTGGATTGGCCGAAAGAGCATTTGGACGCCTTGGCATACAATTGATGTTTTCTGAGTAACTGTAAAGTGATCTCAAGGTGCCTCAGGTGATCTTCCTCTGTTTTACTGTAGATCAGTATGTCGTCAAAGAATACCAAAATGAATTTTCGGAGATACGGCCCAAAAACATGATTCATTAACGCCTGGAAAGTGGCTGGGGCATTAGTCAGCCCAAAAGGCATGACCCTAAACTCGTAGTGGCCTTGATGCGTGCGAAAAGCAGTCTTGTACTGGTCGGCAGGGTGCATCCTGACTTGGTGATAGCCAGCTCGGAGATCCAGCTTTGAAAACCAGACTGCCCCATGCAATTCATCTAGCAAATCCTCAATGTGCGGGATAGGAAACTTATCCTTGATGGTAGCTGAATTTAGCTCACGATAGTCCACACAAAACCTCCATGTACCGTCTTTTTTCCCAATGAGCAAGACGGGTGATGCGTAGGGGCTGTGACTTTCCTGAATGAACTCCGACTGCAGCATCTCAGCAACCAACTTCTCTGCAACTTCTTTTTGGTGGTGGGGAAAACGATAGGGTCGTATATTAATTGGTTTGGTGTTAGGGAGCAGTGGGATAGTATGGTCAAAGGTTCTGGTGGGAGGAAGTGATGAGGGGGTAGCAAAAACATCAGAAAATTTGGTGAGAAGTGGCTGTAGGAAGGCAGGGGTAGTGGAGGGTGTAGGGACAGCTTCTAAAGAAAACACAGCCCCTATAAAGTTGGCAGAGGGTTTCTTTAAGAGCTGCTGAAAGTCACGACCTGTCATCAGCTTACACTGCCCTTCCTTCGTAAGCACCTGTAATGTCAAAGTTCTACCATTCCATTCAAAAGCCAACTGCCGCTTCTTCAAGTCGACTTGAAACGGACTGATTGTCTCTAACCAATCCCAACCCAACACAAGATCGTGAGCCGGTAAATCCAGTGTTCTAACATCAAACCCAAACTCTTGACCCTGCATTTTCCAACTAAAGCCCTTGCAAACAGAGTTGCTCAACAAGGTATGACCACTAGCGACTTTGACTCGCATAGGAGCAACACTCTCAGTTCTACAGTTCAGTTCTTCAGCCCTAATGGAGTTTAGAAAGGTATGAGAACTACCTGTGTCGATAAGAACAGTAACTTGCTGCTTCCCGGCAGTTGCTGGAATGAGAAGTGAATTACCAGCGAACCCCGATCCCATAGCCTGCAACGACACTTCCACTTCAGCATCCTGGAATTCTTCCTCCTGGTCCTCCTCTTCACTGTACCTGAAGGATTCCTCAGCCTGCATTGCGTGTAATTGCTTCTTTTTGTTACAAATGTGGCCATGGAAGTACTTATCGCCACACTTGTAACAAAGCCCTTGTCCTCGTGGAATAGAGCTTCGATCTCCTGTCGGCTGAGAAGGAGTGGATTGATCGCGCTGAAAAGAAGTACTCGCTGGAGTAGAAGGAGAAGCAGACCAGCGATTGAGAGGAACTGAACGCGTCTTCTTCTTACGGGCGTCGATGGCGGCCTCCTCCAATCGCGCCTGATAAAAGGCGCAAGCCAAGGTCGGTGGATTGAGCACTTGCACTCGTGGCTGTATCTCGTCGTCTAAGCCTCCCAAAAAACTCATGATAAAATAGTGCTCGTTGAGCTCCGGATTCAATCGAAGCAGCCGCGAACGAAGGTCTTCAAACTCCTCCTGGTAACGAGCAACGGATGAAGTCTGCCGCAGCTTATTGAACGCCGCCACCACATTCAGCTGCTCACGATGCCCAAACCGATGAAGTAGTTCGTCGACAAAATGACCCCAAATCAACGGAAATCGACGAAAAGACCACCCTTCATACCACGTATACGCCCTTCCTTCCAGATAATACGAGACCAAATCGACCTTCTGCTCCTCCGGAATCGAGTAAAGCTGAAAAAGTTTGTTGCATTTGCTCACCCACACATGTGGATCTGAACCAGAGAAATATGAGAACTCCAAACGGGGATAATGATCCAGGATCGAAGGTCGGCGTTGCTGCTGGGAACGAAAGTTGTGTTGATCGGCGACGGGTGCCTGCGAGTGCGAAGGCGAACCGATTGGTGACTTATCGCGACTCCGGGCGAAGGACGCCGCCAGAGCTTCGATGTGATCTTTTGTTGAGGCCGCAAGCTCCGCCATGGCTGCCTTCAAGTCCTGGTGGTGAGAATCCAATTGGAGCTGCACAGACGCCATTTGCGCCTCCAAATCAATGATACGAGCAGTGTTTGACGCCATTGCCAGACCTAAGGCTCTGATTACCACTTGTAAGGATCGTGCTGAGATGAACTGGCGAAATGGTGATGGCGTAGGGAAGAACAGAGAATGCGAAGGAGAAGATAGAGTTTCTTTTATTAGAGTCTAACTAATTGGTAAAGTTGCTAAATGGTAACAGATTGGTCAAAAAGCTAACAAGTCGTAATTGCCTAGCTCTATTTATACTGCTGACTCTTCTTCACACTTCACACGCCAACTGTATCCAGCTGTCTTCTTTGGGCTGTTACAACATCTTCCTCCTCTGTGCGGTAACAGAGAAGAAGCGGTGCTTCATCCTCCTCCTGTTATGGAATTTTTATGAGCTGAATGTTGTGTGTTTTGTTTTGCAGATCGGCAGGTCGAGACAATCGATCCTTTGCTCGATTGGGTTAAGTCAGAATTCGAGTTCCTTTGCTGGTGTGACGCTCCCTCGAAGCATCCGAGCTTCCCTTTCCCCAGCAGCAGCAGCGACTTCCTTGCCGGCATGAAGCTCCATCGATTTTAGGTGAGCTTCTCTTTCCCCAGCAGCAGTGGCGGCCTCTTCTGTAGAGTTTAGTCCTCGTCCTATGCTAGCAAGGCTTCTCAAAGTTATAATAATGATTAGAATTTAACTGCAACAAATTGTTTGAACAATTTGCTATGGTTTTAATTGTTCGAACAATTTGATTGTTTAAGCACTAATCCCATGTTGCAGTTGATAGCTTACAGACAGGGAATGCTATTGAAGTACTATTGGTTTTGAAGTGAGTGTTGGGAATTAGTGCAATGCTGAGATAGCAGCTGATTTTTTGCTTGATGAGATCATGTATGTGAATGTAGGCTGCCAAAGAAAGAGTTAGCCATCAGATTAACAAGGCCAGAGCATTGCTTGCTCAATCATGTGAACGGAGCTTTATGTCTTCTTTCTATATTGTTGGTGTGGATGGATGTGATCTATGTACAAATTTTGGAACCCTATTATTATTACTACATTGACAGCACTTTGTACATAGCTTGTACCACCCCAAATATGATATTGCAGTACTCTGATATAAGATGAACAATTTTGGAACCCTATTATTAATTTTGTTTTCTGTTGTGGCAGCTTTAAGAAATGGAATGGCAACTAAACGGCCCATTAGTGTACAACTACTTGGGTCGAGAAGATAATAAGTATGTTTGAAAGTAGCGAGTTAGGACTTGTGCAACAACTTCGAGCCACCATTGACCAGCGTAGTTATGAGACTTCAAACGTTTTGAAACCAGGCGTCTTAGAGCAAGGCCAAAGGAATAAGCCCTCACAGCATATGGGTTTGGAGTTTTGAGGAACAAGCATAGCTCAGGATGACAGGCGTTGTAATTGGTTGGAAAAGAAAAGAGCCGGCCTTCTTGCTACTATATATTGTTGTCGTATTTATTTACTTCATCCACCGAACTCTTCAGCTCGCTCATGGTGAGTTCGCTCTTTGGTTTTCTTTTCCGTCTATTCTTGTTCCTACTTTCGAGTCTTGAAAGCTAGCATGCAATCTAACATATTCATATTTGGCAGAGCACAGGTCAAAGTTGTATGGCTTACGCCCTGGCTGGCTCTTCCCTCATAGTCTTAATGTGAGAGTTCTTCCTCCTTCCTTTCATCAATATGCTATTCCAGTCCTTTCTCACACGAATCTCCATGCTGAAGGCTGCAAGAAATTGCATAGTTTTTTATCCCTTGATCTTCCAAGATTCAATATTTTTCCCACAGTAAACCATGATTTGTTTTATGTTTCATTTTGGTTCATTCCTAGTTACCTTTGATTTGCATTTGTACTCTTTTCCCATGCAGGATGTCTCTGATGCCCAATGGAGAAACTTTCGTGGGAATCTACCTATTCTTACTTCTGTATTTGCACTTTTCGCTGTCGTAGCCAATGCATTGAAGGCCTTCTTGTCTTTGGGAGCTAAGGGCATGGCCATTTCCTGGATTTTGATTTCTTTGTCCTATTTGGCATATCTTCATGGGGCTTGGTATTTCTTCCTCTTTCCTCAAATGCTTTATTCCTTGTGAGTATAACATTCTGGTTTTGGTTTGACTCAAATCCTCATTTCCCTTTGCAGCACCATCTACATCTTGTTAATAGCTTCTGCTAATTATATTCTAGTAATGGTGAGTTACTTTGAATGTTGGACCTTTCTTGCGTTTATGATACATTACCTTTATGTACTTATGGTTAATTACACTTCCATTCCCTTAATTTCTTGTGCTTATCTGTGGTAGTTGTTGGCCTTTGTTCATCACTTTCCTGGATATCTTTCTCCAACTCTGCAACACCCAATGTGATCAAGCTGGCCTGTTTGTCTTCAGAGCCTAATTAATTTATTAGATATAAGTTGCTTTCTTTAACGAGCATAGTCATAGCTGATGTGAATCTAAAGGAAAATTATTTAAGCTCCTGTAACTACAAATACCGAGTGGGATGCCGTACCCAATCTTTGACTCCCTTTTTCCAATGATTTATCAACTTATGATATATTGTACAATGCCTCTATTTCTGCAGATATTTGCACGAACAAAGTACTTCTCATTTGCTATTTGGGTTTTCAACATTTTTGTTCTTGTTTGCAATCGGATTTATGAGGGATATTCATTCTCCATATTTGGGTGAGCTTTCTGAGTTAAGTTTTTTACTTATTTGTTGGAGTAGTGATATTAGTTGTTTGACGCAAAATCAAAATGTATCCTTACTTCTCCAATGCTCATCTTTTTCTTGTAGGGAGCAGTGGGCATACTTAGATAACTTTCGAGGCACCTTTAGGTGGCACATTTGCTTTAACTTTGGTAAGTATAGTTCTTTATCTGTCGATTTAATTCAAACCTATACTTCCGCAGGTAACTTATGAATATGCTATGCTGTCTTCTCGTATTGAGGTTTAACAATTTGTTTCTTTGTTGCAGTTATTTTGCGCATGTTAAGCTTTGGATATGATTATCATTGGGCTAATCAACAACGTCATTTTGATCAAAGGGTAATTGACATACATTAGATTGCTATGATTTGTTTGTAATGTTGCTATCTTGGGTCTAGAAACGTATTATTTCTCTCCATGCTTTTGTCCGATTTAACAAAATAGCACTACATCCGTGAGGTAATGGATGCTTAAAACTAAGCTACTTTTCCAGAATGAGAGGGGATCTTTGTTCCTACATTGTCCAATGTTGTCTTTGAGTTTTCTTGGCTAAATTTTCAAGAATATAATTCTATGAATGTGATCTCTTTGCATCCCGATCATGTTGCACTTTGATTTTCTTATGCACTACAGAGTTAAATGTAATCAAAATCAAGTTGTATCTCCAATGATCAATCAAAGCAACACTCCTATTCTCGATAGTCAAGAAAATAGGATTCCGAGACACAACCCTCATGGTTAATCAATAAAAAATACATATACATGTGGAAAGTTGTATATTTTTCCACATTTATGAGGATTTCAACTATTTTTATTGTGTAAGAAGATAGACATGTCATCCTTGTAATTGTAGTTATTCCCTGGGTCAGCCTTTTGGTATGCCTTGGCTGTTGGTCAAACTTTCTTAGTATCCTTTGCTTGGCAATTTTTACGAGTTTAATTTCCCTAGAACCACTTTTTGCTTCTCTTCTAAGTTAAACTCCTCTATCAACTTTGTTTTTAGGGTCTTACATTCAGCGTGCGCACACAGCACACCCTTTTGGGTTACTCGCTAAATAGAATTATTGTAGCTTCAATAGACGGGAGGGATTTTTTTCTTTGCCTATCATGCCTGATGAAAATGTTATTTCTGCACGTGACTTTGTTTCCGTGGTTCTTGTGGCCTTGACTTCTTTCAACTCTTGTGCCTAAAAAAGCTTTTATTTTTCACTCAAGCACGTGCATCTGTTACCCTCTCATACTGTATGGTCAGTAGTAACTATAAGCTAATTTCTTTTTTTGTACCGATAAACTCAGAAGCACATCCAGCGTTGCCATACTTGTAAATCTGGGGGAATCTGCTACCAATTGCTACAGGTACCTTTGAGCTCTTTCCGTGGACTCCTTGAATTTTGAGATACTTAAAAGGAATTTTGTGGTGGATATCTGTAACTGCTTTATATATTCAGGAGAGAAGTCTGCCAATTGATAACTTTTCATTCAGTGTGTACTTATCATATCTGGTCTATGCGCCACTTTACCTTGCTGGCCCAATCATAAGCTTCAATGCCTTTGCTTCACAGGTATTTATCTTCATCTTCAGGTGCAATATTTATTCTACAACTCATTGTTTTGTTGTAAAATTAGTCTACTGATGTAGTAACACCATCGAGGAAGTTGATCGAACTGCATTATTGTGAGTCCAAGAGATTTCATTTATTTTATGTACTCCCGATTGGACTATGGATGCAGATGTGTCTTAAAATACATTGTTGCAGTTGTACCAATAAACTCTTGAACTTTCTGATTTATGAATTCAATGTGGTTTAGTAATGAATCATTTCTGTTAGAATCTCACCTCCGACTATGAGTTTGATGTGATACTAGTCATGAATAGTTTCTGTTGGAATCTTGGTTAACCGTGACTTGTCCTGAAATGTTCTTGCAGCTAGATATGCCAGCACGAATTTTCGCAACCAGAGATGTACTCTGGTATGGTTTACGGTGGATATTCAGCTTCATGATCATAGAGATCATGAATCATTTATTTCATTACAATGCATTCGCAGTCAGGTAAAATTTAGTAACTTAAGGATAATAGGCTAAAATTCTTACAATGATAATCAACTTATTAAAGCTGTTCTCAATCAACAGTGGCCTGTGGAGGTCGTTGTCACCTATGGACATGTTCATCATCACATATGGGGTAAGATCTCAGCTCCATACCACCTTGTTCCTGCATTTATGTGTTTGTAGCTATTGATACAATAGTTTGTTACAGAGCTTTTTCTTCTCCATCGATTGAATGGGACAAGGTAGACTAGCCCAACCTATTATGCTGGATATGAAATCAAACTACCTGTTTTTTCTGGGGTTCCAAGTAGAAGTGTGGTTCTGTTAATTGATTTGTTGCAGGCTTATAATGCACTCCCCTAATCCCTCATTTGCATCACCCATAGATCAAACTATTATGGTTCATACAGAATAATGCAATGAAAATTTCCATGACATAGGAACCAACATACAGGGAAAACCAGTGCTGGCAATCTGAGTTCCAGGCTTCCAGCTGTTCTGTTCAATAGTGTGACATTCTCTCTGTTCCTGTCATATTGAACTGGCACTTGCTTGTCCGGTACAGCTACCTTTCTTAAGATTCTGATCCAAGTGAAGAGCAGCAGTCAACCATCCCATTTGTCGCTATTTTCTACTTGCAAGAGCATATTTACCATGTTCATGCACATGTACAAATAATTTAGTCATCCTCATCGGTCTGCCTGAATTAAGATTATTGAGTTCATATGTTTGATAAGTCGTGCAAATCATTGAAGTGCTGCATCGGAAATTATTGCAGCAGTTCTCAGCTCTCTCCCTAGGACATGGTCTCCTCTCTGATTAGTTTAATAACTGTCTACTGCTACAGGTCTTGAACTTTATGTGGCTGAAGTTTTTCCTCATATGGCGCTATTTTCGGCTTTGGTCACTGGTATGGTTATGGTTGCTAAGATTTGGAGCTTTGGAGTATTTTGCTCTGGCATTTAGTTCTATGCACATCAGACTTAAACAACATGCTTTACAGATTAGCGGCATAGAGGCTCCTGAGAATATGCCTAGGTGCATAAATAATTGCTACAACTTGGAGAGCTTTTGGAAAAATTGGCATGCTTCCTACAATAGATGGCTTGTAAGGTGCACCTTTTTTTTGCGCATCATGGCTTGTATTCATTCATGGTTTCAGCTATGAGATTTGTTCTCTAAAAGTTCTATTTTTCCAGGTACATATATATTCCCCTTGGTGGGTCTCGGACGAAGTTTCTAAACATCTGGGTGATATTCACATTCGTTGCTATTTGGCATGATCTAGAATGGTAAGTCAATGTTCTTTTCTTGTTCCCGAACAATTTAGCTGGTAATCTGATAATGGTTTATTGCATTTTACCTCAGGAAACTTCTCTCATGGGCATGGCTAACATGTTTATTCTTCATCCCAGAAATGGTAGCCAAATCAGCAATCTCTACACTACAGGTGGTCTATTTGTAAATGATCAAATGCAGTATTTAAGTTCATAATCCATGGGAATTTATACCTTGGCATCAGCGTTCATTTTTCATTTTCCATGTGTCAAGCACATGCATTAAAGCAGCTCACATGCTGCTGGTCACTTCATTTGCCCCCTCCCCCCTTTTTTTTTACTAATAATAGATCGAGCATTATTATATGCTGCATGCATCTCGGTCAGTACAGCTACTTGTTGTTTCAGCTTTGATCCAGTCCACAATTTTTTGTTTTGGTTGTTGGCCCAAGGTTCGAACCCAGGTGTGGTGGATGTTCTCATCCCCACTAGGCCAGCCCCTTGGTGTTCATCCAGTCCACAATTTACTTGGGGTATTGTTGATGTTCTTTGGTGCCTTTTCCCAGGTAGAAACTGCTTCTGGGGAGCTCCTTTCGCGAGAACTCAAGGCTGTGGCCGGTGCAATCACTATTACATGTCTCATGGTCTGTTTTTCTGTTTAATGTTTAAAAGCTGATGTTTTATCAACTCTGATCTAAAGTTCTGGCACGTTCTTAAGCTATGTGACTAAATTGATGTTTCAACCTGCCTTATTGATATTAGTATCTCTCTGCTTTTTAATGCTTAAAGCCTCGTCTCCCAGTTGCTAAAACAGTACACGTAGTAGCATTAGTTGTTACAGTTGCTAGTAATTTTGTGCAGGTAGCAAATTTTGCTGGCTATGTTGTTGGACCATCTGGTGTCAACTGGATAATTTCCCGGTTCTCAAGTAGAGAAGGTACGTCAATACTGCATCTCTTCGGCTACTTTTAGACATCTCTGGATGCGAACGATGTGGTGTGTGGGTTAAGCATTAACAATGCAGTGCTTGCTCCTGGTTACAGGACTACCGGTGCTTTGTTGGATGATGGTAACTTTCTACCTGGCGGTTAAGGTAAGAACACAGAAGCAGCGCGTAGAACATAAGATTTTAGTTTAGGATAATAATGAGCCGAGGCATAACATTGACTTTTGCAGCTGATTCTCCACATAGAGGACGCGAAGCGGAAGCAGCAATAGTACATGGAACCCAGAAGCCAGAATGGACACCACTTTTGAACTGCTGCTGAGTTTTGAATGTCTGCCAAATTTTGTAAGGAAATGACGAGAGAGGGAGCGGTAGAATTAACAGCAGCTTCGCATTTTAGTCTGAGAAAATCTGCCCCGAGGGTCTACAGTCTACAGATAAACCCGTTCGATAATTTTTTTTAAGGCACCTGACTTTGGGTTCTCAAGTTTTGCTTAAATACGGTCACAACCTCATTTGTTTATTTCTTTTCGGCCATAATATCAAACAATTATTACTCGTTATCGTGAGGAATGTGGTCATGGAATTTGACCCACAATTCCATCAGAAAATGGACAAACGTCAATAGGATAGGACACACATTGATATCCTAGGTGTACTGCAGCGCCGTTAGCCATTCAGCAAATCAAAGGAAAATAAACAAATGATTTTATAAACATTATATTTGGGTAGAGAAATTTTACAATACTATATAGTATTGGTGCTATAGGTTTTGCTTTTATGGTACAACTTAAAATTATACATTTACGTTATGGTACAACTTCAAATTGTACTTATACTTTTTGCACAAATTCTTTTATGGTACAACTTGAACTTGTACCTTTATGTGGTGGTACAACTTCAAGTTGTAAAGTTGTATCATAGCATAATGGTACAAATTGCTTTATGGTACAACCTAAACTTATACATTTAATGCTATGGTACAACTTTGAATTGTACATTAAAGCACCAATACTATATAGCATAGTAGAAGTGCTGATTTGAGAAAATGTCACAAATGTGCATTTACCCTATTATATTTCGTCCAATCCACCAAATAGTCAAATAGCCATCCCTCACGCACTTAAGTCATACACTGTAGACTTTTCACAAATAATTCTTACAGTTAAAATAGTCGAGTTGGGAGGTCAAACTTTTGATGGTTTAGACAGACAAGTTGGTTTACATTGTTGGCTCTCTTTTAAAAGAGAAAACGAAGCCAAGAGGATGGTAATGGGTCGGGTTGGGGCGAGTTATGCTAAATTCAAATCCAAATCCATGGGTTTATTCTAAAAAAATCCGGGGTAAAACCTATTGGATATGGAAAACTCAAACCCAACCCAACTTGCTAGGTATCCGCGATATTATGAGTGTCCATGGGTTCGTGTACAAAGATGTAATTACACTAATTTTCACTACTATTGCCTGTTGCATACACACTAACTCACAAATCATTTGTACGAAATATTTAATATTAAAGATAAACATCCACAAACAATATGATTAATTGAACGTGTGAGGAATTAATTTAAAATTATAGTTAATTAGTTAAGTGTTCCGTGAGTCGTGGGGCATGAACTTGGATGCGGGTATCCACGGGTTGGATATGGCTAAACCCAAACCTAACCCGTAAAAAAGTATAGCGGGTTTAAATCCGAACCCGGCCCACAATTCGTCAAAGCGGGTTTTACCCGCGTTGAGCGGGTTGGGTCGGGTAGGGTACCAACGAATTTGGGTTGTACTGCCTTCCCTAACCAGGATGACGCAAATGGTTGAGGGTAGGCTCTTGGGGTGTTGAAAGTTTTCAATAGCAGCAGTCTGTCAACCTCATGGTAAGTGATTACAAGGCAAGAGGAAAGTTCGATTTAACATCATCCGTTCACGTAATCACCTACTACGCCACCTTATAAATAACTTTAAAATCTTGACATGCTGGCGAAGTCACGTGGGTGGTTGACTCGCGGCTTGATACAAAACCACCTATAAATAGTTCGAATTATTGTGAGTGTTGCGAAGTAACATAAATCAACAATGAAAGAAATTAAAAAATATACAAATTTATGTGGTTCATTAACAGGATGTGTGTTGGCAGATCCACGTGTAGGAGAGACCAATTTGACTGTACTTGAGGAGGATACACCTTTTCCTGAACCCTGACTCGATACTACATTTCCGGTAACTTTTAGTTGACGACATCTAATCATACTTCAAGTCACACAAGAGTGTGTATGAGAGCGATATGAGTGAATTACAAGTCGATAAGTGTATAATCCATACTTATTTGGTTGGGTAGTGAGTGGATTGCAGGTCACTCAAATGACTCGCACCCCAGTTTCACATGTCAAAGAGTTGTTTCTTTTTATACAATCAAATTGTCATCATTTTTCCTAACCAGACCAAACACTGACCATCCAATTCTAAAGGTGAAATTCAATAATATATTTGGACTACTATTATTGATTATTATGTTGTGCAATGTCCATTAGATATTGAGATGCAAACTTTCAAAAAACAACGATTCTTTTTACAACTTGATAATGGAGTAGTGAAAGATTCAATTCAATACATATGTCAAATAACTTAAATCCACATGCGTAAAGAGTCTTGATCTCCAGGTTATGTGGTTAGTGACTTTATTTTCTATGAATGAGTACTTCATTAAAATGCCAAATGCAACTTGGTATGAGTAGTTGAGAGCTTTGCACATCACAAGTACTAATCGGATCCAGGAGAGACAAAGCGAACCCTCTGTTATTCTTAATAACGCGATTTCGCGTTATTCCTAAATAACGCATAGCCAAATAACGCGTCGACGGAAATGAGTTCCAAACGAGCTATTTGATCGCAAATAACTCATTACAATCATCCATCCAAACGACCCCTTATAGTAAATGTTAGTCAATTCACCTAATGGCAAGTTGGAAATTTACTTTTGTTGATTAATTACAACCCAAACGCACACATCCGTCACCTACTCAATCCAATAAAAAAATGTAAATGAATAACGAGTCACAATTGGATCGACTTGTTAGCTAAGGTCATCTCCAACAAGAAGGGAAGTGCCAAAATCTAGCTCTTTCCTCCCTCTAACAACCAACCAAAAGAGCCAAAAAAGCAATAAATTGGGGTTGTTTTAGCCTAGTCCACGAACCAAAAAAAAAAACTCGCCCCCCTCTTTTTTCTTCCTGTTAGACGTGTCGGGGAGGGGAAACTAATCTCCAGTCGCGCGCGGGCCTGCTTCTTATTGACGCTTGTGACGGATGTGCGGCCCGCGCGGATGATGGGTATTTCTCCCTGTTGAATAAGAAAAACTAAGGATAAATACATATTAGTCACAACTATTTAGAAGCGGGAAATTATAGTCACAACTATTGAAATACAAATTAAACGCCATAATTATTGTTGCGGGTCAAGATGTGGCTAACAGTCCGTTACCGTCTTTAATGTTGTAAGGGAGACTGCCACATTAGCATCATGTCTTCTTCCATGTCATATTGCTTTTGACTTATAATTTTAAAACAAAAAAAACCCATCCCCTCATCTTTTTCTCACCTTCCTCTTCTTCCTCCTACGTCAACAGAGACAATCTGCCAGAAGTCTCTCCTCCTCCACCGCTGCCACATCCTCCTCCTCCACCACTCGCCTTCTAATCTCTTCTCCCAATTCCTCCACTGCCGCCAACGCTATAATCATATCCTTTCACCGTGAAGCCTCTCCCCAGTGCGGATCCCCCTTCTCATCCTTCGTCAATTCCTCTGTCGTTGTCGTCGCTCTTTCTCTCTATCGATCAACCAAGCAAATCAATTGATGAATCAAAAGATGGAAGAAGAGAGATGTGTGGTGGTTTGCGGCGACGGCCGAAAGAAATTCCCAGATTTGGGAGGGACAAAGCTGGGTGGGTGACGACAAGGCCCTATCCCTGCCACCAAAGCTGCCGGCAGCGGGTGAGGATTTGAGACTTTTTCCCTCCCTTCTCCTTAGCAACTCCAGTCCCGTGCCTCTTCTCGACTGAACCCAATTCCCCTTCCTGCATGCACATCATACCGTAACCCACCTCCTCGTTCTTGGTCAGAGAAGGTGCGGGCGGGGGGACGGAAGGCTTCTTTGTGGAATTAGGGTTCTGTATATTGTAATGGAAACCCGCAGGAATCCAGGTTGGCTCAAAGGCCATATATATATGTACTCTCAGACACCTTCTCAACGAAGGGGTTGAGGAAGGTTAATTACAGAGGTGAAAGTGTAACGGTAACAAACAGAAAACCTATACACAACTAATCAAAGAAAGACAAGTGTCCCTGTACAGTAAAACTTGAAACAACTACAAGTACTAACTCATACGCTGCCGTTTCTGCTCAGCTCTTCAACTGCTTCCGAGGGAGACGACGTCGTGTGAGAAGCTCTTCAGTGCTTGTTCATCTGGTTTGATTTCCTCTGCTGCTATCTTCAATATCCTCCCTCAAGCTGCTGCATACAGATTTTGTATGCTCAGCTTGGACAACAAAAACAGCAGCCGAAATCGACTAAGACCCTTGGTGAATAAGTCAGCTATTGGATTCTCAGTGTCCAAGTGCCTTAGTTCAATCAGTTTGGATTGGAGGAATTTTCGAACCACATGACAGTCGATCTCAATGTGTTTCGTTCTCTCATGAAACACCGGATTTTCTGCTATGTAAATTGCAGATCGACTGTCACAGAATAGGTCAACAGGTTGTGTATGATCAATACCAAGCTCCTGTATTAACCTTTTGACCCATACTACTTCACATGTTAGCTGAGCTAGAGCTCTGTACTCAGCCTCTGATGATGATCTAGAAACAGTTCCCTGCTTCTTAGATTTCCAGATGATCAATGAAGTTCCAAAAGTAATGCAATAACCTGTGGTTGATCGCCTTGTATCAGGGCATGAAGCCCAATCTGAGTCACTGTAACCTCTTAGAGTTAAATCAGATGAAGAAGAGTAAAACAGACCCTGACCTGGAGCATTCTTCAGGTATTTGAGAACCTTGTATGCTAGTTGTAGATGTGTAGTAGTAGGTGCTGCACTATACTGACAAAGCTGCTGCACAGCAAATGTGATTTCTGGTCTGGTGATTGTCAAATAGTGTAATCTTCCTACAATTCTTCTGTAAAGTCCAGGGTCTTCAAGAAGAGGACCATCATCTGCTGCAAGTCTTGTCTTCATATCAATTGGAGTAACCACTGATTTGGAATCAGCAAATCCAGTGTCATTCAACAAATATGTGCAATACTTCTTTTGGCATATGTGTATTCCCTCCCTAGATCTAGCCATTTCCAAACCAAGAAAGTAGTGCAAATGGCCTAGATCCCTGAGTTTAAACTGATCACTGAGGTGATGCTTCAAAGCCTGCATTGTCATCTTATCATCTCCAGCAATAATGATATCATCCACATACACCAATAAAACAGAAATTCCAGATGATGAATGATGTAGAAATATTGAATGGTCATTAGGAGACTGAGTGTAACCAAAATCCAGCAAAACAGATGTTAGTTTGGCAAACCACTGTCGAGATGCTTGTTTAAGACCATAAATTGATTTCCTTAGTTTGCAAACATAGCGAGGCTTATCAATGCCAGGAGGCAATTCCATGTACACTTCTTCTTCCAAATCTCCATTTAAGAATGCATTGCTGACATCTAG